AATTTATTTTGCACAGATCCATTGGGAAGTCAGTGTGTATGGCAACTATAGTCTTACAAAATACATTTCTAAAATAATAATTCTTGGAAGTCAAAGTTGCTCCTTTATCCATGGGATTCAGAATGAATGTGGTGTTAGCGGATACAAAAAACAGCATTAATCACAATATATCTCCATCAGGGCTCTTGGGTAACCAGCTGTATTGTCAATAAGTTGTAATATTTTCAAATGAATCCTTTTTTCTGAGTATAGGTCTCCATATTGTGCTTAAAATATGCAGCAAAACATGTAACATATTTACACTACTATCTAATACAGTGATGGTGAACATTATAGAGCTTTCAATAATACAAACAGCCTGCTGCTGCATGTATACCATAGGTTCACCACCACTGATCTAGTCTTTGCATTTCCATTTACACAGCCTAGGTAGAGTGTATTTTATGGAATTCATAAGGGCATTAGGATTTTCAGAAATGAAAAGTCCCCATCTGCATTAGACCCTAATAATGAACCGACTGTTAATCTGTTCTTTGAAGCTCTGAATCCAACCACTAACTTCTACCTTCTAGCTATAAATGCCCTATGCCTTTTTATTCCAACATAATCCTGTTTTTTTCTACTTTGAAACTCTGCTGTTTTCTACAGCCACTTCATCAATCATCTTAGGGCTTCTGAATGACTTCATATGGTTTCTCCACCTGCATTCGCTGTTTCACACAGTTATGTTTTGGAGATGGCTTCTTTCTTCCTGAGAGACCTCATAAGGCCACCTCTGCTAATTCTGAATTTCTTCTGCAGCTTCCTCACCTTTCTTGGTCTGCATAGAAATAAAGATAGGGCTTTGCTCTGAATTGGGCTTTTGTTTAAAGGAAGATTGTGTCTGGCTTTATCTATTCACATCACTAAAACTTTTTCCATATCAGCAATAAGGCTGTTTAATTTTCTTATTTGTATCTTTACTGGAGCAGCACTTGTAACTTCTTTCAAGATCTTTTCCTTTACACTCACAACTTGGCTGTTGGGTGCAATACACTTATCTTTTGATATGCCCCCTTCCCAAGCTTGACCATTTCTAGATTTTTCTTGAAAGTAAGAGACATGTAACTCTTTTCTTGAACACTTAAGACGTGACTGAATCGTTAATTTTGCTCAGTACTGTTGTGTGTCAGGGAATTGGCAGGCCCAACAACAGGAAGAGAGATGGGGCACTTCCGGTGGTGAGCAGTGAGGTCAAAACATTTACTAAGTTGGGAATCTTATATAGGGGTGATGTGTGGTGCTCCGAACAAATTACAATCAAAGCATCAAAGACCACTGATCACCAGAAAGATATAATAACAGAAAAAATCCAAAATGGCAGGGAAATTACTAAAATATGACACGGCTGTGCAAAATGAGCACGTTGTCAGAGAACAACACTGATAAACTTGCTAGAGACAAGACTGTCAGAAGGGCCGGGATGCTACTCAGTGGCACCGCGCCTGCCTTGCAATCTCACAGTCCTGAGTTCGATCCCCAGTACCAAAAACAAACAAGATTGTCAGAAAACTTCAATCTGTAAAAAACAGAATCTATAAAGTAAAAGAAAGCACAGTGTAATAAAATAATGTATGCCTGTGTCTCATTGATTCCTAATTGATTTTTCTGTGGCTGGAACAGGCATAGTTGCCTAGTTTTTGGTAAACAGCGTGCTTGTCCTCTGCTGAGAAGAACCCAAGAAATAGATAGAACTGACACCCAACCCAGAACCTTTGAGGGTCTAATGAAGATGGAAAACAGCATGTACAGGCTCAAAATTGTGAAAGTTCACTAAGAAGTGAAGAACTGCTCTCCTGAAGTCCACCCTCAAATAATCAGAATAAAACCCACAGAAAATCAAATGGATGTGTATTTAGAATAAAGAACAACAATTACAAAGTTAAAATACATTAAAATTGTCTTTGGACTCACCACAAATATCTTTTGAAAGAAATCTCTAAAAGATCCAGTCCTGTATATAAAGACATATTTTATACCTTAAAATAAACCAAATATTGGTCTTGGAGTTGTTAACTTAAAACTTAATAAAACCATACTTGTTCCAAGGTAAATTGGAAAAAGATAAGTTCCATTAAATATATTCAAAGTAGAGAATGAGTCAAATGCAAATGATCGACTACAAAGAATTAGAATTGTGCCAATTCTACCTTTAGTAACAAAACAGTTATCTGACAATAAATGAGATGGTTTGACAATTGTGTGCAAAGTTGTTTCCTTTCATAGTTTGTGCCCTCATGAAACTATGACTACTATCAGAGCTTTGTAAGTGCTTTTCCATTCTATACTCTTTGCAAAAAATTTTACTCACTCCTACCTATTTATTTTCCTAAACCAATGCTTTTAGTTTTCACAAAATCTGTACAAATACACTCTGACTATTACAAAAGTGCCACATACTCAGCTAAGCTTTGATGCTGCTCCAGTAAGTTTTCTGTAGAGCAATGGAACAGGAAGACACTGGGCAGAGCTGCACAGGTAGGTATTATGGCTTCGCTACTTACCAGTTCTATGATGGACATTATAATCAAACTTCATTGTATGTCAAGTGTCCTCATCTCTGAAATAGGATAACTACTTTCATGAGGACAAATATTTATTGTGAAAATTTAGAGAAGTAATGCGAGAAGTGCCCGGGTTCATGCTGAGTATTCTGTAATTGTGAGCTATTACTGCTCTTTGAGGTTTGAGGTACCATCAGATTGTTTGTGTGTGCCAATGAGGACAGTCTGTGTCATGGTTAGAATGCCCCCTGCAAAGCCCAAGTGTTCAGCGGTGGGGATCTTGGAAGATCATTGGATCAGCTCCTGGTGGCACTATAGCTGACTTGCTGTGAGGAGGTGGGGCCTGGAAAAGGCCTAGAAGCGTCTGTCACCATCCCCAGCACCCCCTTCTCTCTCTGCTTCTTGGTTGTCATGGGATGAGCAGTTTTCCTTGCCCATGGCCTTCCACCATGCCCTATCTCCCTTGGACCCAGCCAACTATGGACTGAAGCCGCCAAAGACCATGAGCCAAAAACAGTCTCTCATTCTGTAAGTAGTGGGTGTTGGGTATTTTGTCGCACACATGAGAAAGTAACTGAGACGGAATATTAATAATAATATTTGATTTAAACTACAGCTTTCTGAAACAGGAATTACAGCTCCCGTTTTGCAGAAGAGGAAACTAAGAGCCAGGCATCCTAAATCTATAGTGGCAGTGCAACAGCCGACCTCAGGCAGAGGTCTGCTGACTTCAGGTGGAGAATATTTTTGACTTTAAAAAAGCTGTCTTTCTAGGCCTGTCATCTATTGTTCTACTATGAAGAATAAAACCACTTAATAGTGACATGAGCCAGGGATTTAGCTCAGTGGTTCTGGCGCCTGCCTCGCAAGCGGAAGGTCCTGAGTTCGATCCCTGGTATCAAAAAAAAAAAAAAAAATAGTGACATGAGCTTGAATCCTAGCACAGCAATTCGTACAAAGTCATTTTCCCCCTTGGTACTTTGAGACAGGGTCTCACGGAGTAATCTAGGCTGGCTGTGAACTTGCTCTGTAGCCCAGGCTGGCTTTAAAGTCACAGTGATTCTCCTGCCTCAGCCTCCCGTGTGCTGGATTTACAAGCATGTGCCACCATGCTTGGCCTTACTAACTTCTTGAGGTTCAGTTTTTTCCACAGTTAAAATGGATGGTGGTGCTCATTTTTATAAACTCAATAAGAGGATGATTTAGCTTAAATAGTATAGCAGCTGATATTGTGTCATTTTTATCAGCTTATGTCAATACATATATTTATATTATTAATTTTTATTAGTTTATATCAAGACACTAGTGTCATCTTCACTTTCCACATTTTACTAATTCAATATAAGTGCCCCAACCCCCCTGTGCCAACCTTGACCTACTGAAAACACAGCCCACTTCTTACCCAGGAGAAATGGTTCCTGCTCCCTTGAAGCATGGGAGCATTGCTCTATTGCACACCTAGATTCAGATTCACAGTTCCTCATCCACACTCAGTGGGGCCCAGACATGCTCCACTAGCCACATTCTTGTCTTATGTTATAAAATTTATAGAGCATATCTCTTGTACAATAATATATGACATTTCCTGGTATGGTCTTGAGCAGAATCCCATAATTAACTGTGGAAGTCTTTCTAATGCAAATCATATAAATGTTTGAACTCACTTGGATAAATGAAGACTATAAGTAGATCCATGTCAATTCAGGTCATACATTTCTGACATCTGCATATCAGACTGGCGTGTACTACCAAAGGATTCATTTAAAAAATGTTTGGTGTTCAGTTCTATGGAGTTCAGAATGGCACATAAGAATTGGAGGTCTGTACCGTCTTTCCCCCCACCAGGTTTTGCTAGGCCCAGTCTCATTCTTAGGTGTAACGCAGTGCAGCCACCCTGTGCGTCTCCTCATCTCAGCCTTCCTTACTACTGTGAAAGCTCTCTTCGAGTAGCGAGTGTGACTTCATCTTTGCATTATCTTCATGACCCATGGCATTCTCATACCCTAAGTCTTAAACATATTTTATAAACAAGAAAAAACACATCAAACTTCCAAGTATAACATGTGGATAGTACTATGCAATAATAGGACAAAATTCCCTTTCTTCATCATGAACGTGCATGAAGTCACTATTGATTCAAATCTCTTTAGAAAGAAACAGGCCAAATTGTGCTGTGTCAATTTTACAAGATCTCATAAAATCTTTAACTTATTGATGGTCTTTCTGAATTAGGATTCCAGAGGACAGAAAAAATACTCTAGATTTTCAAGTTAAAATCGAATTTTTCAGAAATTACACAATTGGAGGAAATTCTCAATATCTCATTTTGCAGTTGCTGGTAAGTCATTTAAAAGGGCAATCATAGCATTCTTTTACTAAAATTGCTTTCAGGCTGTACATTAAAATTTTTCTTATTATGATTTACTTTACAAAGAACAGCACTTCCTGGCGTCTCACCTATGTGTTGTCCATACATGTGATAAAAGAAGCTGAAGCAGTATGGAGTGTTTGTTGATCCATAAGGATTTTTGGGAGCAATGCTGAAGACAGGGCTGAGAAGTCTAGCTTTTTCACCTTCCAATCTGGGTCGAGATGTTTCGATGTACATATAGAAACCTTAAAATATGCAAAAGAAGATGTTTAAACATATTCTGTCATAGGACAATTCCAAACCATTAAGAAGTTTTTGAGTTCTCACACAAAGTAAAAACTGATATCAGGGTTTACTTTCATTTATAAAATCGTACACGTAAACACAACTAATAGTGGCTTTAATAGACTACATGATCTATCTGATTAAAGGTAAAATACACAAAGATGAGAGAAACTGGAATTCTAGATTTGAATTATCAAAATAAAACTTTCTCCTCTGTATAGATCAGTGAATTGTGTGAAAAAAATTACTGTCTAGAAATTTTAGAAATATACAAATTGTGGATACTGTACATATTGTCCCATAATATTCAAACAGGAAGCTAGATATCCTTCTATAATTTCATGGCAATAACATTTATAAAGACTCTGACAGCTGTGATCATCACAGTGCACATGCTCATACCTTCTTTGGAGCCACTGCGATCGGCGTTAGGTCCTGTGTTAGGTGTGTATTTCGTGTTTCTTGTTGCAGTACTTTGTTTTGTCCAGTCAAAATTATCTGTGTCATCTTGGGTGAACAGACACATGTTTCCATCTTCAAATCCACAGTGAAATTCTCCTGTCAACAGATTTTAATTGGTAGTCAATATTAATTAAATTAATGCAGACCTGGCAATATTTTATTAGGAAAGATTCAAAAATTGTACAGTACTAATAATGTCACCTCATGATAATGTCATCAGAAACTTGATAGTGGGCAAGATCATGACTGAACAGAAAATTATTATAATTGAATGAAAAGGGTAATTCTTATATGGAAATCAGTATTATATGATTCAATTTTATGACAAAATGAAGAGCCAAACCATTTTCCCCAGAAATATCCAATTAATTGAAATTAAATAATACATGTTTGAATTATGACTGGAGAATTTTCCTAACTTTCTTTTTGTAAGTTAGGAATCTTAGGAAGATTCAAAACTGTCAATCAGAAAGTGAGCTTTATTCATTTGCTTTATTCATGGCATTTTAAAGACATATACCTTGAATTTTAAAATTTTTATGTCATGTCTGAAGATGCTTTCATGTATAATCATTTACACAAATGGAAGTGTGCTTAGGGCAAACTTATAACAAATTATTTTGAAATCTTCATACTTCATTTAAATGTAGGTTTACCAGAGATTTGAAATTCACTAGATATGAAGTAATAAAAAGACTCTATTAAGATCTTGAGAAAGAACTGGTATTTCCTAGATGTCTACCATAATGCTGAGTTCAGACCCAAGACAAGTTCAGAGACAGACTTGCTCAACTTTCGCAGGTATAAGGCAAATAGCAATGTTTCTAGGTTTCAAAGGTTTTCTTATTGGATGTACCTTGCTTGCAAAAAGGTATAAATGAAGAAATTCAAAAGATCTACTATAAGCATAATTACATTGTACATTATTAACTGAGAAAAGTAAACACAGTATTATTTGATTCACCCTAAGAATAATTCTATGAAATCTCAATAATCCTTACTCACAAAGGAGAACTCTTTGGCTATGTGAGGTATTAGATGATAAAGTCCAAATAGAATCCAGATTCAGTGCAATTCACAGAGATAGAAACGTCCTAAGTACAGAATACCTCCTACCCCTCATAAGGGTTATATTTATTATTATATTCTTGGATATGGAGTCTTCTGTGGATATCATATTCCTGAATTTATTAAAAACCATTGACATCAATAAAAATGAAATAGAAGGCTCTTCTCCTTAAATTTAAGAAATAGAAATATATTTTGTTTTGCTTTTGCTTGTCAAATCTCTTCATATCTATTTATATCCTATGTTCTGAATAGGTAGAGTTACTGTAATTTCTAGATAAATAATATAACACATAAAATATTTATTACATACATATTTACTTCACAGGTTGTGTACTAAATAAAAAACGATGTTCGATGTTATCAAAACTGCAATGTGACAACAGTGCACAGTTTTCTTTCCTTTTTTTGGCCTTAGGTTCAATACAAGATTTCTTTAGTTGCCACATCGAAGTTGGAATAATGTCACCTAGACAGTGTTTGATTTTAAATGTTTTCAGTTGTTTATTACATATATATGTGCAAAAAGAGATCAAAGAGCAAATGTAAACATAGTTTTAGTTTGCAGAACTACTGCCAAAACTTACTTTTCCTATGTTATTTAAAATTATGCACAATGAATTTTTATAAAACCATTTAACTATTTCTTTTGAGTAATTTAATTTAGACCTGTTTAGAAGGAGAAAAAAATCTTGTCTTCAAAAATGAACAAAAGAATGTGAACTTTTAAAACCTGAATATATAAATCTCTCACAATAAAATTTGCAAAAATATAAGCTACGAAAGGTACAAATAATTCAATATAAGGAAAACAGCTTATAATTTAGCTTATTTTATATATGAAATAAATTGTTTACAATATCATAATTGTTATAATTCAAATCAGACAATAATACATAAGCAATAGTAATAACTTATTACCTCTGAGGACAAGGGGTTTGAAAGAAAAAGATGTCTATTACTGAAAACATTTTGTTAAAAGTTGGCACATAAAATGGCAAAAAACTGTTTGAGACCATAATAATTTTAGGATTTTGTGTCACTTTTAAATGGGATAATTATAAATATATGCAAAGATGTTTACTAGTAAAAGTTCATTGGAATAAAGAATATTTGATAGATAATGAACATGCACTGAGTGCTATAAACTTATCAGAAGTTTAATAGTATTAAATATTGAAAGATCTCTTAACATTGTGAACATAATAAGAACATAATTTTAGCAGTTTTAGGGGCTACATGGAAATAAAGAAGTGTTATTTTCCAGGGTTTTATTTCCTGAATCCTTATTATGGTAAGGAGATATGAAAACTCAGGAATAAGTGGCCTGATACCCAGTGGTCCTCTTCTTTCTACTCGCCTTCTTTCATCATTTTTTACAACCTGCAAAAACTTAACCTTACATTAAAAATAAAAGGTTCTCTTGAAAAGATATCAAGAGTGAGTTCACATGCTAAATTCTCATATTATTTCAAAAATATTCTCTGGAGATAGGAATGTTTTCATATATGGGAATATTCTTCATATAAATGAAATATGTATGTTTATTCTATTTTGTCTGTACTCTTAAGCTTTAATATAAAGTGAAAGAAGAATAAATAACCAAAAGTTCCAAAATTAAACAATTTCACAGGATTCATAACCTAAATCAGACCAAATACATTTGGATTCAATGTAGTGACTCATGAAAAATGCTCAAACTATTCAGACACCAAACCTAAGTAATTATAATCTTTTATGAAATTATAGAAAGTCAAGGAAATATATTACAACAACAAAATGATACAGAACCCCACAAAAGAAAAATATTATCTCACACAAAGTTAGCTAATATTAAATAGGTTTGGGAAATAGCTCCCCATACCCATATTTATGAAAATTTATAAACATCAATTATCAGTAGTAAATAATTTGTCTGTATACACTATTTTTCTGAAGTTTAAAATTCACATATAATGGAAGATTTACTAATTTTAAATAATTCTGTTTTAAATCAAAGAAGGATAGTTGATAAATATTCTTTGTGTATCTACATATATCCTATTTTTCTTAATGATGAAATACAGTGCCTTATTAAATGGGAACATATACTTACTTAAGTGAGGATTTACAGGAGCTACAAGAAAAACAAGGAAAAATAGTTAACAAGTATTGAATGTCTTTTTATAAATAAACATCTAATCAGTCTATTCAGTGTCTCATAGTTCCTTACCAAAACTTAATGATCTTCCCCACTGTAGCCATGGAGAATTATATCCACAGTCCATTTTGTTCTAAAAGGTTGGATACAATCTACTAGGGAGCTCAGCAATCCAAACCTCATAGTACCAAAAAGATCAATGTTAAATAGCACGGGGGATTTGTTCATTTTCCAAGAAATGGAGTTGCTGACCTTTTATTTCTTAACCAGTGCTAAACAAAACCCAGAAATGAAAACTTGAAGCCAACACCAGGCTAGCCTATAATTTAGAAGGTCTAATGGTGAAAGTAATTATCCAACAGAGATTGTACTTTTGGCTTTTGCTGTCATACATTTTTCATAAGAATATTATGACAAAAATGTAAATAACAAAATATTCATACCATGTCATATAACCTAAAACAAATAGCTACTTCCATATCACTTGGCTTAATTGAACTAAAACACACACAATACCTACACACAGAGATTTCTCAAGTGATAAGCAGTCGCTAAATATTTTTTGTGTATTTATAAATGTTATGTTTCTCTTAATTATGAAATACAGTGTCATTTTAAGGTGAAAATATAATTACTTAAGTGAGGATATTCAGGA